CAGCACAACTGGAAGAATGTAATCGATGTCACTGAATTGTACATGTAGAAACTTTTGAAAGGGTGTAACTTTGGCTATGTATATTTTCACCAAAAAAAGGGTCCTTCGAGGTCGAGAAGGGAGACTGTTGACATGTCGTGGGGTTGTTAACCAATGTCGTAAAACAACATGTGTACTGACTGTTTAATGAGAAACTATCTGTTCTGTAAATCTTCATCTAAAGTACAATTTAAAAAAAATTTAAAAACGAAGAAAAGAAAAAAAAGAGCTCTAACAGCCCAGATTTCAGGGCTGAGAGATGCAATGTTCCCTTTACAGATGTGAATTGGGTCACATTATGCCATTTCCAGGAAGATGAAATGGTCCCCGAAGAAACCAGAACGTTCCTTCTCTTACCTCTGACACGTCAGTCCAACTGGGCAGTAGAAGAACGTCTCCCACAGTTTTCAAGAAGGTCTAAAGACATACAAAAGGACACTGCTGAGTGTGTATCCTCAAGCCTGGGGCTCCCCACAGCTCCCAGGATGTCTATGACACTGACTCACTTTTGCACAGAGTCGCAAACAACAACAGCTAGCATTAGCACACCAGGTTACGCGTTACAAAGCCCTTTCACAGATGCTCCCTGGGCGGCCCTGTGAAGTCGGTGACCAGCAGTTAGGCGTCAGAAGGAACACAAGCAGGCATGCCAGGAGCCCACAGCCCAGTGCTGGCACAGAGCAGGCCCTCAGAAATGTCTGACGGATGAATGAATGAGCGAGCGAACGAACAAACCATGGCCTGCTGAACGTGCTTTTCTTGGGGTTAGAAGCCCAGCTGACATTACCACCTGTGGTGATCAGAAATTACCTTCCTAGAAAGCAGAAGTTACTGGGGGACACTTGGTCAAATCACCTTACAACCATGTTTGGTTTGGCTCACATTATTGTTCTGAAAAATTGAAATTAACTTCCAACATTTTCAAATTGGGAGATTTAAAATGAAAACATGTGGATTTCCTGCTTCTTTTGGAGAAAGCAGAAGTGTGGACAGCCCCTAGCCCACATTCCCACATGGCCACAACTGGCTGAAGCTGAACAGCAGCTGCCCCCTTAGACAGGCATGTGTCCCCCAGTTTGCCCCAGTCCCCACCTCTCCCTATTGCCCTACACCTAGCCTGTTTCGCTCATTTAGACTCTGTCTCCTACTATCAACACCAGGATTAAACCTAGAGCCTGATCTAAATCTCCATATTTCTACCCAGCTGCAACTTCCATGAAAAATCACGTTCTTCCTACTCTTAGACAACTGAATATTTAGAGAATACATCATCAAAATGCCTCACTCTTTCACTAATTATTCATTCAATAAATATTTACTTATTAAGACCGTAAAGTGCAAGGCCCTAAAAAGCAATGACGAACAAAGCAGTCATGGTCCTTGCCCTCACTGGCTTGAGGTTTAGTGGGCAGAGTTTATAATCTAGGGCAGGGGTCAGCGAACTTTTTCTTAAAGGGTCACATGGTATATAGTTGAGGCTTTGTGGGACACACAGTTTCTATCACAACTACTCAACTTCTGCCATTGCAATGTGACAGCAGCCATAAACAATAGCTACATGAGCAAGCATGGTTGTGTTCCAATAAAACTTTATTTACAAAAAAAGCAATGGACCAGATCTGGCTCGAGGGCCATAGTTTTGCTGACTCTTGATCTACAGCTATGCTGTTCAGTAGAAATATAATCTAAGCCACATTTGTAATTAATTTTCTAGTAGTCACATTAGAAAAATAAAAACAGGTGAAATTAAGTTTAATAATGTATTTTACCTAAACCAATATATCCAAAATATTATCATTTCTACATGTCCAAAAATATATCATCCAAATCCATTGCCATAGAGTCAACTCTGACTCATAGTGACCTTATAGGACAGAGTAGAACTTCCCCATAGGGTTTCCAAGGAGCAGCTGGTGGATTTGAACTGCCGACCTTTAGGTTGGCAACCATAGTTCTTAACCACTGCACCACCAGGGCTCCAATAATTTCCCTCTTTTTTTTTTTTTTCTTTAACTATATTTTTTGAAATCCGATCTCTACTTTACACTTACAACGCATCTCAGTTGGGACTAAACACACTTCCAGTGCTCAGGAGCCACAGGTGGCTAATGGATACCTTATCAGACAGCACAGTTGACCCCTGTCATTTTCCTGTCCATCTGCCTCCTGTTAGTGGTGAGAAGCCAGGACATCATGAAAATTGGAGAACAGATGTCGAAGATTTTTATTTCTCGAGTTTCCTACCAAGTTACAGCCCAGGAACGAGCAGGAATTTGGATAAAGCTGCATGTCTTGTCCCCAGGACACCGGAGTCAGGTACCTCAGCATGGGTCTACACCCATCTCAAGGTCATGGCCCATGGGCTGAATCTGCCTCATAACTGCCTTTATTTGGTCTGCACATGATTTCTTTTTTACTCCTAATAATATTTTATTGTGTTTTTGGTGAAGGTTTACGCAGCAGTTTAGGTTCCCATTCAACAATTTCTATGCAAGGTGTTCAGTGACGTTGGTTATGTTCTTCACAATGCGTGAACATTCTCATTGTTTCTGTTCTCATCGTTCTATTTCCACTGATCTCACCTCCCCGCCCCCTTATAATCTCATCTTTGTTTTAAAGTAATTGTTGACCGTTTGGTCTCAAATGGGTGATTTTTTTGAAGAAGCACAGTACTTATGGATGATATTCATTATTTTGTGAGCCAATCTATTATTTAGCTACAAGGTGACCTCAGGGGTTACTTTTGGTTCAAGGTTTGAAAAGCATCTCAGGGTGAGAACCTTGAGGAGTCTTCCAGTCTCAACTAGTCTAGTAGGTCTAGTTACATGATTTCTTTTTAAATTTCAGTTAGCTGCTCACTTATAAAGATGGGAAACTTGCCATTTATAAAATCCAGGTTTGGGCTTCCCTTGAAAAGCAGAAGTGGTAACTCTAAACATTAAAATCAGGGGGAGCTGAGTAGCTGGCTCTCACTCCCTGTAGATGAGCTGGCGGGGGGTGGGGGTGTCTTCCAGTTTGCCACAGTCTCCACCCCTCCCTATTGTCTTATGTCTGGCACACTGCATCCATCTACTTTACCTGTCTGGCCCTGAAGGCATTTGAGTTTGCAACCTTGGACATGACTAGATTTAGCTGAGGGGAATAAGGGGGGCAGCAGGAGAGGGGTCACCAAGTTTAAAACCATGTTTCGTATGTAGACCGCCATTGAATCTATATTCCAATACAGACATCCTTTGAAGAATCTGGAGATGCCTCAGTCTTCTAAACACCTCCTAGGATACAAGACCCCAGCCCCACTAGCACACCCCAGCTGGGCAGAGGTCAGGCCCTCCTGGCTCTGTGGGTGTCCCTGCCTCTGGCCTTGGCACTGATTCTGGCTTGCTTGGCTGTCCCCCTTTTCACTCCTGCAGCTGCACTCCCCGTTTTTCCTGGGCTCTGCCAGCTCCCACAGCCTGCTCCCAATTCCTTGTGGGCTCTGCCAGCTCCCACAGCCTGCTCCCTGTTCTTCCTGGGCTCTGCCAGCTCCCATGGCTTGCTCCCCGTTATGCATGGCTGACGGAAGTGACAGTTTTCATCTGCCACAATTACACATCTAACGCTGCCACCACCGTACAAGTACAAGAAAGGCTCTTGTAATCAGCAACAGATAAACACAAAGTCAGGTCGCCTGTGGGGTTGGGGCAGAGGTTTCTCACAGGTACACTCAGCCCTGGTACTCCACACCACCCCGGGGCAGGACGGGGACTTCTAGAAGGTTCTGAGAGTGACCTCGGGGACAGCACCTGGCACACAGCTCCTGGGAGAACTCGGACCCGCCCCAGACTACAAGCCCAGGAGGGCAGTGGCAGAGTGGCGATGGACCCTGTGTCCCAGCACCTGCCCAGGCCTGGCTCGGAGGAGGTGCGGGACTCGGGGGCTTAAGTACAAACTGATCCCTGAGCCACGTGAGCATGTACTTGCGGTGAATTAAACCCTCAACCTCATCACCGCTTAAACCCACCTGCAGTAGGTGTTTAATAAACATCTGTGTAATTAATCAGTTACAAAATCAATCCACTCACTTGGTCCCTCCTTCCCTGCACACCCACAGACCAAGGACCCCACTGTCATCAGCCCCGATTAAGGGTCAGCTGCATACCCTATGAGTACCCTTCCCAGAAACACTTCTGTGTGAAGGTCAGGGTGACATGACCCAGAGGTGACATTTACTGAGTGCTGACTGCACCCTAGATCATAGTCACCCTTATCCCCCAGCTCAACAGTACTCAGAGATCATTAGTATTTACTGAGCGCTGACTGCACACTAGGTCATAGTCACCCTTACCCCCAGCTCAACAGTACTCAGAGGGATCGTCAGCATTTATGGAGCACCGACTACATACAGGCTCTACCCTTCGAGCATCACACATGCTGTACACTTACTGTACATGATTGACTCATGAGCCTGTGCAGACCCGCCCTGCCCTCCCCCACAGGGTCCAGCCTCAAATGGCCTGGTACTGTGACAGGAGACGCCAAGCCCACAGGGGCCCAGAGCCCACCTCAGACCTGGCCTGGGGAGCACTTGGAGGAGGGTGAGCAGAGAAAGCTTCTGGGCTTCAACACCATCAACACCAGGCTCACTGAGCGCCGTGGTCACCTCTGGGACCCCATGGGGCACAGTCACATTGTGGGGCACATGGTGTGTGGACTGTGGGCCGGGCCTGTGCCCAAATCTGCCCAAGTCTCAGCCCAGACCAGGGCTGCATACTCAGTGTCTGCTGGGGCCGGCGAACGCATGGAGGGCCGGATGGGCTGGGCGCCAGGATGCAGCCAGGAGGGGAGAAGCAATCTCACCTACAGGGGGCACCAGTGAGCCGTGTAGGGCTGCCCGGTGGCCAAGCGGCTGACTGTTCAGGAGATGCCAGAAACCCAGATTTTCAAGTGACAGTCCCTCCCTTCCTGGACCCTGTGTGGGTCACACCAAGCACATTGGGGGTCGCTGGCCATCCCTGACGCACTAGATACGGAATTCCATCACTTACCTCCGTGAGATTCCAGGCCGTTTCCTGCGAGACGGATTCATTTGGTAAGTTGAGGGACACATTCTGAAGGTAACTCAGCACGACCCCAGGGCTCTGGAAGTTTCTCCTCTCCTCTGTCAGGTTGGTTATGATGGGATGGTAGGCATCTGTGGGCATCTAAAAGGAATTGGGGACATGAGTTCCTGCCAAGAACTAAAGCTGAGACATTCTACAGAAGCCCCATGCATCCCACTCTGGGTCTAAGACTTCTCATACCATAATGGTAATGATAGCAGCACCTACTATGTACCAGGCACTTTTGTGAGTTTATTTACTTCACATATATGGACATTTCATCCTCACAACAACCTTATGAAATAGGTATCCATTTGATAGGTGAGAAGACCAAGGACAGAGAGGCTAACACAAAAACAAGTGGCATAACTGGGATTGGAGCCCAAGGGGACAGGCTCAAGAGTCTGGGATTCACTGCTACGGTGACGCTCTCAAAGAGGACCAGTCCTCTGATCACAGATGCGAATTCCAGAGGGCAACCTCCTCGGCACAGGCAGAGCCTTTCTCCGGGGTCACAGACAAAAGCCAAGTGCCATAGCTGGCCACCTCACTGTGCCCCCTCCCGCACGAAACAACCTCAGGGATCATTTGCTTCTGAGGGCTTGTTATGGGTTGAATCGTGCCCCCCTAAAAGATATGCTGAAGTCCTAATCCTGTAGCTGTGCATTTGGCCCTGGTTGTAAACAGGGTTTTCTCTTGTTATGTTAATGAGGTGATACCATAGTAGGGTGGGTCCTAAACCTAATCCCTCCTGAGTGGTGTCTTATAAAGACATCAGAATAGATACAGAGACCCACACAGGGGGAAGACAGAGGCCATGGGAGGAGCATCTACAGGTCAGGGAATTCCCCGGTGCTACTAACAAGGAAGGATCCCCCTCCAGAGCTGATACCCTGATTTGGACTTTGAGACTCCAAAACTACAAGACACTAAATTCCTGTTCTTTAAAGCCCCTGCCTTGTGGTATTTGTGTTCCGGAGTACCAGGTAACTAAGACAGTGGTCTTGTTCTTCCTTTTAGGCGTCCACCGTTACAGGCAACGGGAACCAGGGGGTTCTCTCAGTCAGTCTTAGCACTAAAAATCCGTACAGACGTTGGCTTCCCTTCTGTTTATTTTTGCTCCCAGACATCGCTCCACCAAAAAGAGAGCGCAGACAGCCCAGCAGAATTTCCACTCTCCTGACATGCAGTGCAGACATCAACAACAGGGATCAAGAGAAAAATGCGTGTCCTCACCACGGTGCTCACTGTGGGTGTCATGAAGAAGCTTGGTGGTGTGGGAGATAATGCCACGTGCTTTCCTGGAAAAAATAAATAATGCTTCCTTGAGGACTAACATGATCGCCTTTTTTCATCCAAAGGAAGGCCCACCCATATTCAAAAATGCGCCAGCTTTAGACATATCTAAGATAACCCGGGAATGTTTTGCGTAGGAATCTTGCTGAAAAGATAAACGCCTAATAAATCAACTTAATGGGGAGATTGTATGGATTTTCCCAGGTTAACTTATTTTTCCATTTATTTTCTAAACTGCTTTTGAACACCCTTCACGCAAGTCATTATATAATATGATGATTTTATGCAAGCTATTACCGATTTCAAGTAAATAAAGAACCAAGAGAAACAGGCTTAAATCATGTTGGGAGTAGTGAGGGGTAAAATGCAGAGTCGGGTAAGACACTGGAGCAGGGCAGACAGCAGCTGGGAAATCCTCCCTCCTCCTCAATGGACGAAGAGAGAATGGGACGCTACCCACTGAGCCCCTCACAACCCATGGATGCTGGCGGGTCTTCCTACTCAGGATTCCATGTGGTGAGTCATGAATAAGTTGAAATAATGAAGGTATCCAGGACCAAAGATTAAGCCATTTTCTGCCCGTTCACCCCAATATTTTCATCCTGGTAGTTCCCAATGAGCACACAGCCTTAACGGGACACTCTATGTCATTTTTGGAAAGCCCTTCAAGGTGGCTTCCGGTGACCTGAGGAAATGGCCCCACCACCGCCGGCTGGCTCAGCAGTAACTGACCCCTTGGGGTCTCCATTCAGGGGGAGAATGCTGAAGGCGGGACGCTGCTGGGAGTCCTGGAACCAGACCCTCTGCTCGCCATGCCTGAGGGGAGGGTCCTTCCTCGGAGCCCAGACCCCTCCGCTCGCCATGTCTGAGGGGAGGGTCCTTCCTCGGAGCCCAGACCCCTCTGCTCGCCATGTCTGAGGGGAGGGTCCTTCCTCGGAGCCCAGACCCCTCCGCTCGCCATGTGGGAGGGGAAGGTCCTTCCTTGGAGCCCAGCAATTTCAGAGGAGACACATCATACCCACAGCTCACTCTACAGCCCACAACATTCCAGAGAAGGAGAACTAAGATCAGCCGGGAGGCCCTACCCACGCTGACACTAACGCCCACGTGGGACAGAGATGGGAAACTGCAAATCTGCTGTGTCCTTGCTCAGTCCCTGTTCTCTACTGAGGTTGCTGAGCAGTGGCGACGTCACCCTGGAGAGAGTACAGCACCCCTGCCACCACAAGAAAGATGACCCATGATAGTGCAGCCACAGAAAGGACAGCAGGGTCAAAGACAGAGAGACATCACTGGTGATGTCATCTGAGCCCCTGGATCAAGCCATTCCTGTAGCATATCCTCCCCTAGACTTTGAACTGTGTGAGATAAAAGACTCCCTCTTGGCTTCAGTCATTTTGGGGTTTCTGTCATTGACAAGTGAGGGGCTCAATGTCAGAGCCCGAGCAGCATGGGTGGGCCCGGAGTCCGGGCCCATCCCCTCCTAGTCCTGGACCCCTGCTGTTCTGGGGTCGGTGGTGCGGCCAACCAGGAAATGCTCATGACACGTGTACGTGGGGACCAACACTTTCTGGCAGATTATTTCACGTGCGTGCATTGTGAGCAATATGAAAATGGAACTGCAGGGGAAAGTGAATATTAATTTCAAAAAAACTAAGACATATTGCACACTTGCCATCTGGCTCGAAGTGTAGGAGGGTCTTAACACGCTGGCGCACACTGTCCTCCTAACACCCCAGGAGACGGGTGGTGGTGTTTTCCTGCGTTTTAGGGTTTTTAGAGGAGGAAATTGATTTGGAGAGATCAAAACACAAAAGGTCACAGGTTGTACGACTCCGTTTATGTGAAATGCCCACAATAGGCAAATCCACCGAGACAGAAAGCAGGCTACTGGCTGCCAGCGGCCGGGGAAGAGGGGAGTGGGGAGTGACTGCTAACGGGCATGGGTTCTGCTTTTGGGGTGAGGAAAATGTTTGGAACTGGGTAGAGGTCAAGGCTGCGTAACAGTGTGAATGACTACATGCCACTGAGCTGCACGCTTTAAAACAGTTCATTTTATGTCGTGTGAATTTACATCAATTTAAAAAAAAAGTGTCTTCCCAAAGTCCCACACTCAGTGTGGCAGAGGGGGTGGGGGGCAGATCTGAACCAGGTCCATCAGCCCGCGGCCCACACCTGCCCTGTGCTGAGCAGGAAGGGGCATCTCTGGCCCCACAGCCATCAGAGGCGGCCTGCGGGAGGCCCTTGCGAGCATCTGCGATCAGAGCACTCAGGAAGGGGCTCCATGTCTGTCTGTTGCGAGCCCTTGGCGGCCCCATGGTGGTCAGTGTGAACCTCTTAATCCCAGAGCATCTCTGGCAGTGTTAACGCTCTCTCAGGTAACAGATACTCTAGAGAAATGACAGCATCTATAAGGCAGAATTGACTTAATGGCAATGGGTTGGGTTTGGTTTTATAGATTCATTAAAGAGCCCTGGTGGCGCAGTGGTTAAAGCGCTCGGCTGCCAACCAAAAGGTCAGTGGTTTGAACCCACCAGCCACCTCACGGAAGAAAGATGTGTCAGTCGGCTTCCATAAAGATTACAGCCTTGGAAGCCCTATGGGGCAGTTCCCTCTCCTCTAGGGTTGCTATGAGTTGGAATTGACTCGAGGGCAGTGGGTTTTTGGTTGTTATAGGTTCATGAGGACACTTCTCATGGCAGCATGCTGGCTGCAAGGAGGGAGCGGCTGTGATGGCACCACTGGGGAGCAGGTAGCGGGCCCCCTCCACCCCGCCCACACTGACCTATAGCAGCTGTGAAGTACATGGCGACCTCGTCGGGGGTCAGTGCCCGCTCCCAGATGATGAACTCGTCGAAGGCGCCGTTCTGGTAGCGCCTGGTCTGGTCCTGCTCAGCCCCGATCACCAGGTTGGCATTGGGGTCCCCGTAGGCATGGGACACCTTCCCGCTGGGGTCGGAGGTGTTCAGGGTCCCGTTGACATAGACCTTCAGGCCCTCCTTGGATTTCCATGTGAACAGCACATGTGTCCAGTAGGGGCCTAGACGAGAGAATGTTGCTGAGCTGAGTGCTGGGGCTCCCCGCACCCGTGGTTCTGGGGTTCAGCCCATCCCCCACTCCTGCCTTACAGGGCATGACAAGGCCTGCCTGTCCTCAGTCATCAGGCACCAGAAGGAAACTGCCCTCTGCTCACATCCTGGGCCTCAGGTGGTGCAAACAATCTGCACTTGACTACTAACCTAAGGGTTGGCGGTTCAAACCCACCCAGCAGCACTGTGGAAGAAAGGCCTGGCAATCGGGTTCTATAAATATTATAGCCAAGAAAACTCTATAGGACAGTTCCACTCTATAACACACCAGGTCGTCACGCGTCAGAACTGACCCAGTGGCAACAGGTTTGGGGTTTTGGTTTGCTCACATCCCAGTCTCCAAAAACAGTTCAGAGTGTCCTAGCTGTTTGAACCCAGGATCCACGGCTGAAATGCTGGACAGCAAAGGGGGGTACTCTGACAAGCGGGGCACAGGCACTGACCATCAGACGGTAAGCCCAGTTGTAGAGAACCAACATGGCCGAGCCCCACTGCTTGCAACCTGTGACAGAGACGGGGAGACAGCAAAGGCAGCGTCCTGCTCTCCTTGACAACACAGTTTCTGTGCCACCTGTGGGGCGTGAAGGGCAGCTGCCCCAGCAAAGGGGGTGGCCCCTGCTCAGCCCCCCACCATTACCACGAGAGAGGGAGCCCTGTGTTGCCTGTCTCTTTAATTTCCACAAGAAGCTGGACGGTCCTGATTTTAAAGTGAAATCCTAACTAATGGTCTGAACTAATTGAGACCTGTTGAAAGCACCGCCTGGGCCATCCCGGTGCCGGTCAATAAACCTATCAGGACCTGGCTGAGCCCCAGGCCATGAGCTGACCTCTGCTGTCACGCCTGCACGGAGATGTTAACCTGCACGGCTGTGCCAGGTGCCGCCAGTCTCCTGCCTCGCCAGGAGTTTCTCGGACGGCGTCCTTGCTGCTCTTCTCTTTACCGAGAGAAGCGTGCTCAACAGTGGGAGGAATGTTCTCCAGACTTCTACAGCCACTCGCCCCACAAAGGACCCCACTGTGTTCTGCGAGTGTTTGTGTTAGGCCAGCCTCAGGGACTCACTGCTAGAAGGTACAGGGCAGCCCTTTAGGGGACACACCTCACCTCCAGGCTGCGCTCATCTCAAACCATCAGCGGTTACATCAGGGGCTCTTGCTCAGGGTTGTGCAACCATCTACCAGTTCTGAGCCTCTAGGGAGCACGTGAATCCTAAACGGGCTCAGAGTATCACTGCCCCGGAGCTCGGCAGCAAGAATAGCAAACCTCTCCAACGTACAAATAATGAGCATACTGCCAGCCAAAAATGTTTACAATTCTCCCCATTTTTCTGGGTGGAAAAACAGTCGGTGTTCGGCAGACATTCACTGAAAACCTGTTCCTGGGCCCGCGCAGGTACCTGGTGCTGAGCTGGCTGTCAGCCCCAAGGAGCAGGGAGATAAGACTCTCACACAAGTGCTCTGATCCAGAGGAATGTGATAAGAACAGTGGGCAAGGTGCAGGGGGCTCGTCATGGGGCGGGGGAGGTCACGGGGGCGGGGGGGACAGATGTGCAAGACTGTGAAACTTGATGTCGGCCAAATGTCCTGGCTCACAGAGGTTGGGGCCCAGCTGGTCTGTGCACACAGAGCCCCAACAGAAGAGGAGCGTATATTTCAGTACTGCTACGGCCATGTCCTAGGCTCTTTATGTTCGCTGTTGTTGCCGTGGGCCATGGAGTCGATTCCAACTCCTACTGACCTATGTAACACAGTAGAACTGCCCCATAGGTTTTCTAGGCTGTAGTCTTTTCAGAAACAGATTGCCAGGTTTTCCTCCCGCAGAGCTGCTGGGTGGGTTTGAACTGCCAACCTTCAGGTAGCAGGCAAGTGCTTAACCGTGCACTAGCTCACTTGATTTGCACAGTAGCCCTCTGAGGTTCCATGTTACTATCCTGGTATTAGGGATGAGGAGACTGAGCGCGCAGCGGTGAAGTAACTTGCCCACGGTTACATACTGGCATGTGACAGGGTGAGACTGGAACCCAGGCCGTTTGGTGTTAACAGCTAGGCTAGGCTGCCTCCCTTAAATGGGCCAGACAAACATGCACTTCCTACCAGAGGGAGCCTTTGCCTTCGTTCGGCCCCCAGCCCCCAGCCCTGACCTCCACCCTTCAGTTCTCCGTCTCAGCCTTGACTGGACCTCTGCAGTGCTGCCCTGGAGTGTGTCCGCCCCTGGCCACCTGCCCTTCTCCACAGGCTCCATCCAGCCCCCGCCCACCTCCCTGTCTCCTCCACACCGCTGGCCTCATGCCAGCAGATGACCTGGCCACGCCATGTCCCAGGGAACAGTCTCAGGCGGGCCATGCTGAGTCCCCTCCCCACATGCCCCACAGCGTCCCCCCTGCCTCCCCAGCTGCTTGCTCCCGGGGCGCTCTGCTCCCACCACCCATCCTTCTTTCCCTGGGTCTTCAGCCTCCTTTTCCAACAGCTTTTCCCTACCAGCTCTTAGACATTTTCAAATCTAAACCATTAAAAAGAAGGAGGGGGAGGAAGAGAAAAGAAGGAAGAAAGGAGGAGTAAGGGGGGAGGAGAGGAGGACAAACGATAACCCCCATGCTGAGCATTTTCCATGTGATAGTCCACTCAATTACCCCCAGACTGGGAGGTCAGCACTACTGACATTGTGTCCACTTCACAGATGGGGAAACTGAGGCCCAGCACAGTTGAGCTGCCCGGATGCACCCACAGTCAGTGCAGGTCACATGGCACCAGGCACCAGGCTGGGGACCCAGGCCCTGAGCCACTCCGTCAAGCTTCCTCATCGAGGATGAGTCTTGTCCCTCCTGGGAAGCCCCTCAGAAGCAAGCCGCCGGCACCCGGAGACCAGGACTCTGAGCTCTCTCTGCTGCGAGGTCCACGTCTCCCCACCAGGGCTGACGACGGACTCACCTGGGGGACTGAAGGTGGCCGCCCACGTCACAGAGTTCTCCCGTGTATACAGCTCCACGAAGCCTGTGTCGCCGCTGGAGCAGACTTTGAACCCGTTGGAGATCACCTGCCCCCCGTAGGCAGAGGAGGTGGGCCTGGACTGCTCTCCTTGTGTCTTCCAGAAGAAAGAGAACGTGACCCCTGAGGAGATGGGGGCACTGGGTCAGTCACCGATGATCTGCATGCAGCTCTCTCTTTTGCTTTTCATTTAAAAAGCGATTTTTCTCTCATTGTAAGAGCAATGTTTGTCCAATACCCCCCAAATTCAGAAAATACAGACAATACGTATTAATAGCTAATGCTTGCTAAGGGCTTAATAAGTACGAGGCACTTTCTAAGACCTTTAAATGAACCATCTCATTTCAACAACTCTGCTATTATCCCATTATACAGATGAAGAAACTGAGGCCAATTTGCCCCAAGTCACTAAGCTGGTAAGTGATTCATGGATTCAAACCCAAGCATCCAGATCAAGAGCCTGCAAACCCCACACCACATGGTTGTATTTCTTCTGTTCATGCAGAGGAGCCCTGGTGGCGCAGTGGTTAAGAGCTCAGCTGCTTACCAGAAGGTTGGCAGTTCGAATCCACCAGCCGCTTCTTAGAAACGCTACGGGGCAGTTCTACTGTGTCCTATAGGATCACTATGAGTTGGAATCCACTCCACTGCAACGGTTTTGGTTTGGTTTTTATTCAGGCAGACGAGCAGTTATGGTGACTCCTGACGAAACCTCTGTCTGCCATGGACACATTTTATAAAGACAGGAGCCACGTCATGCGCACTAGTTTACGAACATTTAAAAAATAATCTCTACGTCCTGAATTTTCTTCCAGTGTTGTTGTAGCCTGAACTGTGTCCCCCGGGAAGACATGGTGAAGTCCTAACCTGTCCCTGTGAGCGAGACCTGTTCAGAAATAGGGTCTTTGCAGATGTCATCAGTTAACCCTTTCGTGACTAGAGGAACACACGGTATCCCGCTCACTTTTTGTGCCTCTGCAGTTCTTTGGGAGGATACTTTTCCTGCTGAAAGTATTCGCGTCCCTCCAGCGGGGACTTGTGTAACGGTGAAAGGTGAAAGAAAAGTCCACTGACGCAAAATAGCTGGGGTATTAGGCAAAACCAGAGATGCTCCGTGTACCCAAATAGAAGATGCCCCTCAGTAAACCCTGCTAACCAAGACCGGTGGCCCAGACTGGCTCCCAGAAATCATGTATTTTCATGTAATATTTCTCAAAATCTGTATTACCCATTGTCGTCGAGTGGATTCCGACTCACAGCAACCCGATAGGACAGAGTAGAACTGCCCCAGAGGGTTTCCGCGGAGCGGCGGGCGGATTCTAACTGCTGCCCTCTTCGTTAGCGGCCGAGCTCTGAAGACCGCACTAGGAGGGCTCCAGAATCTACATCACCAACCACAAGCTCAAACACACGCAGCGACACAGCGCGCACTCCACCACGGAAAACACATGCTCTCACCAAAATGCTCGGAGCAGAAAATAACTGGGTCTTGAAAAGCTTAACACGGTCACACTGGAGTAGGGTGACTCCAAATCCTGTATGAGCGGGATCCCTCACAGACAGAAGAGACCAGAGACAGGGAGACAGGGGAAGGGCCCCGCGTGACGCTGCAGCTGCAGCGAGGCAACGTCTGGGGCCCCCGGGAGCTGGGAGAGGCGGGAACGGATTCTCCTTCAGAAGGAATGGACACAGCTGACACCCTGATCTGGGACACCCAGCCTCCAGAGCTGTGAGACAATACCTCCCTGTTCTCCTACACCACCCAACTTGAGAGATTTGTTATGCAGCCCTAGGAAACCAAAGGGAATGTCCATAAGGACACTCTCCATGTTCTCTTTTTCAGAGGCTGCACATTAGCATCATATTCTTCACAGGAACCACAATTTCTTTAAACTAACCCCCTGTTGCTCGGTCTTAGGGTTTTCTCCAGCTTTCTACATTCTAAACAGAACTGAAGCGACATCTTTCACACTTCTCTGATGATCCTCCTGTAGGCTAAACTCCCAGAAGACTGTCTAGTTCAAGGGGACTCCACTGCTATCTGTGATTGTCCACACAGCTGGAGTCTCTTTCCAGAAACCCGTCTGCAGGTTGTCAATGAGCGCTGACCCCACACGGGGTGGGCGGTGGGATTCCTGTGGACTAAATATCTTTGCTAAAATGTTAGCATGAGTGAGCGGGCTCACTGGGTGGTAAGTCCCCGCTTCGTGAGAAGCAGATGGGGAGCGAGGAGCACCCGGACCCTTGACAGTGAAGTGCCCGCCGCCGTCATAGCTGACAGCTCCGAGGGCTGGCTCCCAGGAAGGGCCACCACAGCCACAAGGCTAAAGGTGGGCGGATGTCAGCCCTCACCACCACCCCCAGCTTCCCTTGTTGTTCTAGCTGCCTCTCTACAAGTACCCTGTGCCCACCGGCCTTTCTGTGCGGTGTGTGCATGCGCATGTGTGTGCCAAGCCAGCCAGCGCTGGACTCCGTGGAAAAGCTGGAACTAAAGGCATGTGCCTCACCCTCCCACAGAGCCCGTCCTGAGGGGAGAGACCTCGCGGGGGATTAATACTGCGAGGAGGTGATCAGAGCCACCCATACGCCCGGCCGTATTTACACAATGGCACCACGTTTGTGCCACGTGGTGCTTGTGGACGCGGTCATGGAGAGACGCCGGCTGAAGGACAAGACGCTTGTGAAGGGGACTGTGACTCGTGTCTCATCACCACATCATCTGATGGATCCACATATGCATTACAAGTTCTGTGGGGTCCGTGACCGCCACAGTCACGCAGCATTGCATGGGGCAGTGCAGGGCTTTGTGCGTTACATGTAAAACCTACCATGACTTTTATAACCCTGCTTTGGAATGTCTCTATTTTCTTTCTCTCTTTTTTATTTTTTTTAATGTGAGAGGGACGTCAAAAGAACGCAAGGGCCTGGACTTTCCCAGGCTGCGAGGAGCTGCAGAGCAGAACTCCAAATCACAGGGTGTGTTCGTGGGGCAGCTGAGAAATCAGAGTCCTCGAGGGTGCCTGTGATGTGGGTCACAATGAGGGAGGGATGGGACCTCGGACAGGCCCATAAGGGCCTGGGCAGTGGCCGGCTGTGCTATCCGGAAGCCCCAGTCTGAGGGGAGCCAGAGCCCACACACTCCAGCTCTCCAAGCCTGCGCCCCGAGATGGCTGCAGGGCAGGGGGCTCAGAGGCCGACCCCCTTGCCACGCCCACCTGCCCCCAGCTCTGGGGACTCCGAGTCCAGAGCAAACCCCAGCCCCCCGACTGCCGTGCCTCTCGGCTCTCAGAAACATCCACGCTCAGGGAAGCAAGCACTGCACATTGTGAAATGTTTGTTACGAAAGGAATTCCCGCGAGGACTCATGGAAGTCAATTGTTTGCAAAAACTTTGCTGCACTTAAAAATTCCTTTCGCTCAATTCGAAATGACCCCGTTGTGGCCAAATGTCTTTCTGCCCAGGAAGAAAAATAAAACTGAAAACTCAAATGCAGAGTTGAGTACAGGCCACTGTCCTGCCTGCCCCAGCCTCCCAGGGAGACAAGAGAGCCGACAACTCTGACGTCGGTCGGAGGGTGACACTTCTCCTCACCTTGAAGTGGACGGCCTCTGGCCGGTGTCAGGAGGGTGGTCCCTTCTGCCTGCACCCTCCCCAAGGTGGAGGGGGGACAGAGTCAGTTAGAGCCATTGCCCTGCTAGGTGTGAGCAGTGGGCAGACCCCCAGGGAGAGTCAGTGGACCAAGCGTCACTTAGCCCTGAGCAGCTCAAAGGAAGGTCCGCTTGCTGCTGGCCGAGCCATGTGACCCTCTGCCAAAAGGCCCTAAAATGCAGGTAGCGCCTGAACAGCCCTGAGGACTGTCAGGTGCATTGACCAGAAGGTGTGCGTGAGGACCAGTGACGGAGTCAGACATGTGTGCCATGGCATTCGCTCAGAGCCAGGGCTGAGAATGTGCATTTCCACCCTGGATACACTGAATTAGAATCTACAGTTTAACAAGATCCCCAGGTGACTCTTATGTATAATAAACTTTGAGAACCACTGCTCTACTAGTGGTTCTCAGAATTGGCCCCTAACCAGCAGCATCAGCATCTCCTGGGAACTTGTTAGAAACGCACGTTCTCAGCAGGGGTTCAATCTAACCCCTTAGAGCCCTGCTCAGAACAGTGAGTTTTGAGGCTCTGGGAGGAAGTGACAATAGCAAAGCTGAGTGCTCAGACACCCCACAGTCTGGGCAAAGGACCAACAACAATTCCTTCAGAAATCAAAGGCTTGCTATGTCCTTAGGGTTTTTGGATGCAAAAGAGGCTTTGCCCCCTACACCACACACACACACACACACACACACACACACACACACACAGAGCTACACCTACACACACATGCACACACACATGCACACACATGCACACACACACACAGAGCTACACCTACACACACATGCACACACACCTACACACACATGCACACACACATGCATACACACACTTACCCACATGCACACACACGTCGACACACACAGCTACACAGGCACAGCATCACTGCCAGTGTCCTGGTCATACTACACTGTAGCTACGCAAGATGTTACCACTGGGGGGACCTGGGCAAAGGGTCTGCAGGGACCTCTCTGCATTATTTCTCACAATTGCATGTGAATCTACAGTTATGGCAAAACAAATGGTTTTCTAAAAAGAAAGAAAAAGGTTTTGTTAGGCCAGGAAGACCTCTAATTGGACCTGGCTGATGAAGCTTCCATTTTTACAGCACATTCTCTTCCTTTAAGCTTCCCAGAATTGGGGCCTTAGTTTAACACACAGTTAAACTAAAGGAACTAAGTGAATAGTAAAGCAGGCTGGTTGGAATAGAGGACTGTCTAGTCAATGTTGTTGTTGTTAGGTGCCATCAAGTCAATTCTGACTCACGGTGACCCCATGTGACAGAGCAGAACTGCCCGACAGGGTTTCCAAGGCTGTAATCTTTACTGGATCAGATCACCAGGTCAGCTGGTGGGTTCGAACCACCCACCTTTTGGTTAACCTTTTGCACTTAACCACTGCGTCACCAGGGCTCCTCGTCTGGTGACTAGAACCTCCCAACCACAGGGTTCTGAGTGGGTTTCCACCCAG